TCTGGATCTCCTCTGGATCGCATATGCTCAGGAAGGTGGCAGTGAGTGGGCCGAGGCTGCTGTTGGCAGCTAAGCAGGTGATAGCTTTTCTTTGCCAGTAGAACTTGGGATGCAGTCAGTGATGCAGCATGGAGGCCATCAGCTATTTTTATACATGCAAACACACACGCTCACTATGTGTATATGCATTTATATGAAGGATCAGTTGAAATTATGTCTTATTCCACATACACTGAAACTCAAGAGATTGATGGGAGATTTTGCTGAATTCAGCCCTGAAAGCCTAATAGGCACCATTGTGTCGATGTTATAGCAAAAGCACTGAATAATAATTGCAAACTTGCTGCTATACTTGTGTCTGAAGACAAGTGTGTAATGTGTTTTCTGCCTTCCAAAGCACTGACAACTGCAGCAGTTGTGGACTTTAATGGAAGCTACAGCTTGTCAGCAATCAGCCCATTTGTCTTAAATTGCCAAGGGTGGGGTTCAGACAGGAGGCTTAGGGTACCTGTGACTGGAAAGGGACAAGTTACCAAAGAAGCTGATGGAGAAACAGGAGCAATAGGAAGAGCTGTGGTACCAGACGAGTGGTCTGACAACAGAAACAGCAACATAGGTAAGCTCTGCAGTAACTGCTGACACGAGCTGACAGAGCAGATGGTCACCTCAGTTTAGTCTCTAACATGGCTTGTTGCCCCTAGAATATTTACCCAAAAGTACGCTACTGATGGAGATGGGATTATCTAGCGAACAGAGGGAAATCAGTCCTATTTTGTACAAGACAGAACCATGCTGCCTATCAGCTTTGACAGTCCCTTCATGTGCCAGCTTTGACTTGGGCAGCTGGAGCGATGTGATGATGTACAAAACCATTTCTGGGACAGCTTCAGATAGTGGAAACTGGGTAGCACTTTCCTGGTTCCCCAATTTTCTTGGAACTTAACTCACTCGTCAAATCTGGAGACTTGGTGAACTGGTAAAATCTTAACTCCCTTTTTCAGGTCTGACATGACCTGGGAGCTGTCAGGACATTTTCATCAGCTCCTGATCTGTGCTATTTGGGGTTAATCCTGACCTACTTTAAGGCCTGAAAGGAGAATTATTTCACTAGCTTGTGAAAAGCACTTAGAGATCCTTCAGTGAAGACTGAAAAAGGAAGGCAAATACTGTTATTCTCATCCCTAAAATACTAGGTAAAGAACTATACTGAAGTAGCAATATAGATGTGTTGAAAAGCAGATTAAACAGAAAGGAGAGAAATTCGGCATTGGAAACTGTCCCATATTTGAAAGGGCAGAGATCTACAAGCACTATGAGTATCTCAGCTCACATATTTAATAAATATTGTCTCAACTGCGTATGTTTATTTTTTTTATTAAAGAGCACATTGCTTGTATTTGCTTCTTTCTTCTTCATTATAGCATCAAAGCAGGACAGCATGCCACACAACAGTATAAAAAACCAGCAGCACCAGATACTTAAGGGTCTTTAGCTCCTAAATTGACTAAAGCATAAATACAAACTGACGTCAAGCATTTGGGATTACCATTTAAAAACTGCTGTTTTCTGAGACGCTAATGAAGGCCATTCACATCAGAAAATCCAGTGGCTACAAAAGGAGGAGTGAGCCACCCAGACTCCAGAGTAAGGACTCTGCTTCTTTTAGAATAAAAAACCTGCCAGTTTGCTTTAGACCTGGGAGAAGTCCCAAATAAGGAGAACATGGAAGAGCTGCTTCCAACCTGTCCAGCCCTTGAAGATTTGGGAATGCAGATGTCACCACCAGTCCTCGCTCTGCCACCGTTACCAGCAGTGGTCATATCACACCTCCACTCCTCACAGTCCTTGGGCGGCAGAATCTCAGCCTGGCTGTGCACTGGAGCTGCACAGCACACATTAGCAACGCATCTACAGTTGTGTGATGCTAGTGACCTTCTCCAAGGCTGTCACACATCTAGTCTCTAAGGTCTCGGTTAAATAGCTGAAACTTTAAACAAAATGTTTTCAAGTAAGATCTTAAGCAGTGATGAAGCTTATACAGGATCCCAAGTCTTTCTCCCTCTTAAAGCATGACAAACATTTCCACTGGCACCCATGGAATTGAGAGTACATTTTGTAAGGCAAAATGCATTCCTGAGTAGGTGTTTGTACTAATTCAGGTGCTGAAGTGGTATAGCCACATAGCAGCATGCTCTGTGGGCCAAGGTATTCTGCTTTTCAACACAATTAACTTAGCAAGATGGAGCACAGCGCTGTATGGCTTTCAGTACCTATACTGGCTTAATGAGCACTAGCTTGTATATCTCTAGGTGATGTATTTTTCCACAGAGATGTAAGTCAGGAATCTCCCAGGGAAAAAGAGGACTAGAGATTTTAAATATCCCTTCTACTTCAGAGGAAGTTCAGGCAATCATGTACTTTGGAGCAAGCATATAACTTCTGCATTGCTGCAGGTAGTAAAGACCTCAGTGGGGAAGCACAGCTTTGTATTTGAAGAAGTGGTGCCTTTGACACAAACTAACCAGTACATCCCCAGCCGCTCCCTAGGACTTCTGTCAAGATAGCACTTCCTCCTTTGGCATCTGTGCTAGCTGCCCAGGAGCCACAAGCAGAGCAGGTACTGGGGGCACCACCTGCTTCTGTAACTTTCCTCTTGTTCACAAAGCTGTGAACTGAGTGGGCAAACCCTTGATGAAGCAAACCCTTGCCATCCTAGAAGAAATAAGCCATTCCACAATGATACAAATTCACTGTCATGACTGTGGATGACTTCCTAGTAACAAGCCTGAAGCCCAGGGCCTTACAGCTCTTAAAATCACTGTTCCCCTGCCCAAGCGGAGACCAACCTCTCTTAGCTTAAAACCTTGCATGGTGCTGAGGCTCCCGGGCAGCAGCAGAACTTGCTCCATTCCCTGGGGTGGGAGATGGATGGAAGGGAAGGTTCCTTCCCCAGGGGCTGGCTAAGGACACTTCAAGAGGAGCAGGGAAGACAGGTGCAAATAGAGACTATTTCCCAAACATGGACAACGCTCCCAAGATCTCCCCAGCTCTGTGACCATACCAGTCATTAGGTGCCAAAGCAGCTGGGCGAGGGGAAGCACAGTGGCAACAGCTTCTGATTTAGCCAGGCCTGCACCAGAGATTTCCTTCTACAACAAGGGATGGATCGCAGTATTTGGTAGCTGCTGATGTGCAGGAAGGCAGGGGAAGAGGGTAGTCTCCTCAGATGGTTCAGCTGCAGTTTGCAGGCAGAACTGGAAGCAAAGAACTCCGGTCTGCAAGCATCCCCCTTGAATACAGGGCATACTGCATGCATTCAGGGCCCAGGATAAACAAAAATAGAAAAAAAATTGGTTTCAGTTCACATCATAGTGGTGGCTTATGTTTTATTCATAGTACAGTAAGGGCAGAAGTTCCCGTGAACGGAGAAATCCCCTTTCTTTCTGTGCAGGTTTCAGAAAACCAGTCAGCAGCAGAGCAATGCTGTTGAACTCAGGACTTCAGTCACCCACTTCCTAATTCTCAAAGCAGTTAAAGCCCTGCAGTCTTTTCTCACCTTTTAATAGTCACAGGACTTGTCAAGCAAAACCTTGACTGGATTATTCTGCTTTAATTACAAAACGCACTCAGGCCAAAGGTGCAACAGCACACCTGGTATGTATATACACATCTCTTAACTGTAACAACAAACACCAAAATGCAGCCTGGTTCTGCTGCACATCAACCATTTCCCTCTGGCACAATCTTTGGAGTATGAACAGACATCCCAGTAACGTCTGAACTGCCTCTTGTGCACAGGACACCAGCCTCTGTATTTCACCATGTACTTTGAGATCCTTTAGGGTGGACCACGCAAGAGGTAAGCAAGAGAAGGGAGGCAAAACTGGAACCTTGGGGTAATTAGAGTCCATATCCCACCACCCACCAGAAAAGAAAAGCAACAATGGGCCACTCTCTCCTTGCTGCAGTTAGGACAAGGTGGATAAATCACAAGGTTTTTTTATTGCTGGTGAACTCAAAACAGGCAACTTTAATCTACTGAGGAACATACACGTACAAACAAATGTTAGGCCTTGTGCGTTTTTCTTCTTCTCAATGTAAATGTCTCTACAACTTCAGTCCAGCTCCCAAGCTCTCACTGAGCTGCCACTGAGATCCCGGTAATGTGCTCTGGGCACTTCTGTAAGATGTTATAAGAAGCATCACATGTATCAAAAAGGGAGATTTTGCAGAAAAGACAAAGCTCTGACTGCAGCCACGTTACTCAGAAAGGCAAAGTCTGGCTAATCCTGCTGCATTAGGTACAGGGTATTATGTATAATTATTTGAATTGATTTATCAAGAATTTGCCGGTCCCTTTCTGTTTCTGGTGTGCAAGCTGCAAGTAAAGTGCACTTCTGGGTATAAATTACACTCTACGAGGATGCAATAGCTGGGTGGTACATCAGTGGAAAGCAGACTACAATAGCTGTTACAACGGCACAGGCAATAAGGATAATGGAATAAAATACTAGATGCTGTTGGGAAACCCCTCCGTAGTTTGAGCATCCAAATATTACATCACTGAGAAAAATCAGTGTCATTTCATGGGGACTTTCTAAAGTCAAGACACATGACTGTTACTGTGCACCAGGTTAGTTCTGTGGACAGCCACCCCTCCTCCTCCCACAGTCCCAGCTGCAGCTGGGAGTCACCAAACCACATTAACTCATTTTTAAAAGAGTTTTATAACAGTTAAGGAAAAAGCAAGGATCCTAATGATGTTTCTATGAAGCTGAGGGTTTCAGATGATGCAGGGGTAGTGTAGGAGGCAAAACAACACCGCACTTAATCTGTGCTGTGAGAGGACAACCCAACTCTAGACACTGTGTTTACTGACCATGACAGAACCAGGGCCAAAATGAGGAGATCCCGACTCTCACCTGCACCTTGCAGTTCTTGGTCTGGTCCAGTAGAGGTCATCTACATTATCCCGTGTACCAATCTCATGCCTTTTTTTTCCCAGGTACAGTGTGAGGTGACTGTTTCACCTGAGACCATCAAGGCTGATAAACTACATGCTGTTCCTCTGATTTCATAATACTGGCATCACAGCGTGAAAGAAAAAAAAAAAGCTGTTCAGGTTTGTTCTCTTTTCATTTAATGAACTATAAAACAAGTAACTCTAAATTCCCACTTAAGTATTCTGGGTGCTTCGGGAGACACTGCATACCCCAGGGCACATTTGATTAGCTCCTTGCCACCAGTGTTTTCATGTGTCCATTGCCAGCAACGGATGCCACCTGAGAAGGGGGAGAGGAGGAGTAAAATAATAGCACTCTGTGTGATACAAAAAAGGATTAACACTGCCTTAGTAAGTGCAGAACCAACAAACAATTCCTCTCACAGGGCCAGGAGTGCTTTTCCCCTCAGGAATGGATGCCCCAGAGCAAGGAGCAGGTTCACAGCTGAGCACTCCCTACCAGAGACAGGGAACCCACAGAGAAATAGCCCAGCCATTTCCAGCACAAGAGTGGAATCCTACAACACGTTTGCATTTCAAGCCAAACTGATCCCTGGGGCAGCTCTGTTGACTATGTCGGAAGAACACTTAAAATTAACCTGGCCCTACAGGGCACCTACAGCAAACTTTCCTCATAAACCAGTTAGGAGTGAGATACATCCGACAGCTGAAAGCTCCATGTTTGTTGCTAATTTCAAAAGCCAAGACTTGCCAGAGCGAATTATGAACCTGTGGCTGCCACTATCAAGCACTTTCCCTGCACTGCAACTTTTTCTGTATTCCTCAAATGTCCCCAGTAAATTAAATTTCAAACTGTCCCTGGTGCAGGTAGTTCTACAACTGAGCCACAGGCACTCTGTCTCACTCTACCCCTCTACTGCTGCTCTCCCACCCTAACTCAAAAGCCTCGCTCAGGCAGAGCATGCCTGCTCTTCAGAGAGGGATTCTTTGCTCGAGTAATTTGGGTTTCTTAATAATGTATCAGGCAGCATGGCATATCTCTTGCTGCCTCCAATTACTGTCATGACAATATGGCTGTATTATTTAAAGTAGAATTTGGGCAGAAAAAGCAAATCCTTGTGATACACTGAGGGGAACAGTGGGCAGAACTGAGCCAGGACCTGCCAGTGCTGAAGGAAGGTGAGAGTCAGTGCCAGAGGATCAAATTCTGGATACCACATTAAACACATGAAGATTTCGACTTTCAAATACAATGGGTTGCAGCCAGAGTAAGTCATCAACATCACCAGAAACAGAGGAAACAGAGAAATCCCTGGGAAGGAAGGCAGAAAACTCCTGTGGCCTGTACAGTCTCTACAAGGTTTGCACGGCTGGGATGGGAGCTGCAATCTGCAACAGACCCTCAGGCAAGGTCTGCTCTGGGGGGACAGAGGAGGTGGGAAGACTTATGCTATTTCTTGTGCCTTTTGCCAAGATTCAGATTGCACAGATTATGGTAAAATTCACTCGGCAATAAAGGCCTTTATTAACAACAACAACAAAAAAAAAAAGAAGAAAAAAAAAGAAAAAAAAATCTAGGGAATATCAGGACTGAGATTTCAAAAAGTACAAGATCTGTATAAATTCAGCAAGATGTCCAGCACCGGATTATTTCATGGTGCAACAAAGAACCTGGGGAGAGGCCAGTGGGACCTCACGAGGGGAAAACCATCTACCTCCCCAACAGACGGCCAGTCTTAGGTTCTTCTCAACAGCAGATGGATTTTCCTTGTTCCTGCAGCATCTCAGGTCCCACGGGAGGTATTGGTTGCAAGCAAGCACCTGAATATTGCCTAATGGAATAAGCCAATCACTAACTTAGCTGGCGTGTGTCCATGCCCATCCGCTAATTAGGGTTTTTTTTCTTTTTGGATGTATTTCTGCTGTAGCATTTCTTTTTCTTCTTTCTCCACATAAAAGTGTAAGCAAAAGGACTGCTTTCATCTGTAATAAGTTAAAATCAGAAATGACCTAACTAACAAGTAACTGATATTGGTCCTTGGAGCCCAAAGAGTAAAATCCATAGAAAATCTATTGGTTCCATTTTTTTTTTTTTTTCTAGTATATCCCATGCACACCCCCATTAGAAAAATGGGGTTTATGAATCTTATCATACAGCAAGGAGCAGTACCTCAGAGCCAGAGCTGACAGTCCATGGTAGAGGTCTGGGCTCTCTCAGATTGCTAAGTGTGGTTCTGAGTCACTGCTCAATCAGTCTTCACATGGCCGTTGGCCAAGGCAACAGGGATGGTGGGGGCCCCTGGCTCGGCAGTCTCATCAAATCGCAAGCGCAGGGTGTTTCTGATCACCAGCTGCTCCATGATGAAAGAAGCACAAAACCATGGGATGGCATACTCCAGGGTGATGAGGCCCATGAAGTCAAAATCAAACTGGGAATAGTCCCATGGGCAGGCATTGAACTGGCGTAGGATGAGGCCGGTGGTGAACTCCCAGAGGTATGTCCAAAGTGTGTAAATGAAGCAGCGCACTAAAATGTTACACTTGTCTTTGAGATATAGATACATCTTCTCCACAATGAGGATGGAGGTGCCATAGATGAAGAGTGCCCACACACTGGTTACACCTGGGAACTTCCAGTTAAAGTTGACCACGAACTCCCAGGCAGCTGTGAACATCACCTCACAGAAATAGCCGTGAATGGCGTAGAGGTACCATCGGGAGAAAGCGGTCAGAGGTTCTGCCGCAGCCATTCTTCTGCACACACCCCAGCAGGCACCCTGAAATGGAGGGGGGGGACATGAAATGTATTTGAACTGTTAACTGGGAGCATCCACAGCATGCAGTACTATCTTAAGATTTTCCTTCTAATTTTGAAAATCTCTTCACAAATGATCACATAAATCAAATGCGCAGAAGGTCCTTCCCTCTCAGTCCCTCCTGCCCATCAAAGCCAAAGACTCACAGAATCATATCCAACAAGTCACATCCTGTTCTACCCCACACTATTGTCTCTGTTCAATGAAGACTTCTTTCTTCTGGTTCTATACCACGTACTTAATAATTATCTATTTATTCTCTTATTTCTTTTTTACACTTTGCAAAATACCTAGTCATTCCACTAGAAGTCTAATAACCAAATCTAGACCAGGTCTGGGACAACTACAACACAAGTTAACTCACTGTAAAGACCACTACTGACTTATTTTGAATCCTAAGCATTTAGAGACTGAGATAAGCAGTCTCAACACACTCTCTCAATATTTGCCTTCTACTGTCACATGCCCAGTCAGCCCAACCTTGATGGGAACTTCCTTCTTACAATATGCTTGAAAGAGTCCTCACAGGCTGCCTGCTGATAAAGAGCACCCCAAGATAGGGCAGATGCCGAACTGTGGTAGCCCAAACATAAATTGGTACCACTGTGCTAGGC